TGGCGATGGATGTGGGGTGGCTGGGTGGTGGTGGCCATGGGTGTGGGATGACCATGGGGTGGTTGGATGGTGGTGGCCATGGGTGTAGGGTGTATGGACAGGGTTGGTCATGGCGTTGTCCCCGGCTGACGTCCGTGTCCCTTCGGCAGTGACTGACCTGGAGATCAAGTTCCAGTACCGGGGCCGTCAGGTCTGCGTCCTCACCATCAGCAACCCCCACGGCTGCCGCCTCTTCCACAGCAGCCTGGAGCCCACGCAGGAGCAGGTGGAGCTCTTCGGGCCGTTGACGCTGGAACAGGTCCGCTTCCCCGCCAACGACGCCATACCCAACGAGAAGCAGAGGTTCTACACCCACCAGCTCCTGGACGTGCTGGACCGCGGGCTCATCCTGGAGCTGCAGGGCCAGGACATCTACGCCATCCGCCTCTGCCAGTGCAAGGTCTTCTGGACGGGGCCCTGCGCCGCCCACCACGCCGGCCCCAACCCCATCGAGAGGGAGAAGAAGACCAAGCTTTTCAGCCTGGAGGGGTTTCTCAACGGTGAGAGGAGAAGGGAGGTGGTTGTCTCCTGTGCTCCTTGGGGACACCAGATGAGATGGAGAGGGTCAGCGGGCATGGAGGAGGGGGGACACCAGGCGGCACGTGGGGGCCAGATAGCGTGGTGGGGGACCAAGATGGGATGGAAGGACACCAACTGGTACATTGGGACCCTGATGGCATGGGGGAACGAGCTGAGATGAGGAGGTGTGGTGGCATGAGGGGACACCACCCAGTATATGGGGACACCAGCCGGCACAGGAGGACCAAGCTGGGATGGGGGTGGGACAAACTCCCATGGGGGGGGACACCAGGTGGCACACTGGAACGTGGTGGTACGGGGGGACACCAAGATGGGATGGGGAAACACCAAGTGGTACATTGGGGCCCTGATGGCATGGGGGAAGGAGGAGAGATGGTGGCATGAGAGGACACCACTCAGCATACGGGGACACCAGCCGGCATGGGAGGACCAAGCTGGGACAGGGGGACACCAGGCAGCCCATGGGGACCTGGTGGCATGGGGGGACCAAGCTGGGATAGGGGGACCAAGCTGGGATGGGGGGACACCAAGATGGGATGAGGAGACACCAGCTGGTACATTGGGGACCTGATGGCATGGGGGAACGAGCTGAGATGAGGAGACGTGGTGGCATGAGGGGACACCACACCAGCTGGCACGGGAGGACCAAGCTGGGACAAGAGGACACTAGGCAGCCTATGGGGACCTGGTGGCATGGTGGAACCAAGCTGGGATAGGCGGGGGACACCAGGCAGCCCATTGGGACCTGGTGGCATGGGGGGACCAAGCTGACATACGGGGACCTGGTGGCATGGTGGGACACCAGGCAGCACACGGGGACCTAATGGTATGGGGAGGACCAAGCTGGGATGGGGGGGGGACACACACACGACATGGTGGGATGGTGGGACACCA